AAGGTGAACCAGCCGTGCGTCTTACAGCAAGAGAGACCAAACAGGTACTGGGCTGTACTTGCACAAGTGTAGCCAGCAGGCCAAGGAAAGTAATTCTTCTTCCACTCCCTCTGGCATTTGTCAGATTGTTACTGGAGTACGTTGTGTTCAATTTTGGGCTCCGCAGCACAAGACAGACAGGGACCTTCTGCAGCTATTCCACCTGAAGCCCTAGGGGCTTGGGCGCGCGATGCACAAGAGGAGCCTAGGACAGCCAGGTTGGCTCAGCCTTAAGAAAAGGAAGAAATGGGGAAAATCTTATCGCTGTCTTCAACTACACACTTGGAAGAAGCAGAGAAAGCAGAGCTAGGCTTTTCCCAGAGGTGATAGGACAAGAGGCAACGAACACATGGAGCTGCGTGAGAAATACTTCTTGGATAGCTGAGAAAAAGTTTTCACCTCATGGGTGGTCAGAGCGGAACAGAGATCAGAGTCATGGAACCTCTATCTCTGGAGACATTCAAACCTCAGCTGGACAAGGTCACAGCAATGTGATCTAGTTGGATCTGCTCTCAGCAGGAGGTTGTAGCAGAGACCCCCAAAAGTTTCTTCCAACCCAAGTTATTCTATATTTCTACACAGCTACAACTGACCAAGGGCAGAGATAACAAATGGAGATTGGATCTTCCCTAGTACTTCAGTTTTATGTGATCTATTGTTTATCATAGTGATAAACTACAATATTAAGTCATAGTTTAAACCTCAAAAACAAAGATGGAACAACCAACCAGCTGAATTTAATCCTTGGATGCAATAAGCTTGAAGAAACAGCTTTTGGTCCTCTGTGGAAAGGTACAGACCTGTACAGGACTATTGCTAGATTAAATCCTGGTCATCCAAGATCCCCAAACCCAGGTATAGCGGGGAAACGTTTCTCCTTTCACCCTACATTTTGACGTTCGTTTACACGCTAGCACACATCAGAGTGATACCAAATATCTCACTGGGAAACCCCTTTGCTAACAGAGATGAAAAGCTCTAACATCAGTTTAACATCCCCAGCAGTCAGTGAAAAGTGTTCCACACCACATGGTATGAAAGCTTAGGTCAGACGCTCTCACTTGCTGAGATATAGGTCTCTAGCCTTCCGTGCTTCAAGTTTTATTTTACTGCTGGCATTTCCCTACTGAAAGAGAGGAAAAAATGTGGCAGTTCCAAGTCAGTACACAAGACAGATCCCTAAAACATGCAAAACCAAATTTACTCCCCCAAAAACGTGAAGCCAGACGATGGCACTGATTGCAGAGGCACTGTAAAGGCTTCAGCTGTTATTTAACTATTTTTTTCCTCTTACAAAGCTTTAACAAGTCTCTGACAATACACTCCTGAACAAGCTGTGCCCAACAGTAACCTGTCTAAAACACAGCATGAAAATAAAATACAGGGTGAGCAAACCGACCTTTCTCAACCTGCTCTGGAGCCCCATGTATCCCACAGGTATTTTCATCCTTGAGTCCTTGGGCAGATCTTAACGCAAGGTGCTACCTCCATCAGTGGATACAAATGACTGGATATGCTACAGGGGACAGCGTTAATGGTATGGGGGAGGGAGGAATATGGGAAGAAAAAGGAGTTGAAAAGAATATATGAGCTAATCATGAACTTCCATTCCGTGCTCAGCACTGCGTTGTGCTATCACTAAATCAGATTAAATTGATCTCACTGTAAAAAGCTTCTCGTATCACAAGAGCCAAGGTCAAGACAAAACAATACCTAAGGAATTCCAGTGGAATAAAACCAAGAACAACTGCATTCAGCTTTTGCAAACTGAGGCAACAGAAGTTGCTATAAACTGACTGCCATTAAAGTAAAATTAGTCTTTGTCATTGCCTAAGACAAAAAAAAAAATTAATAGGGAATGGTGAAAAGTGAATTCACACATTAAGAGCTCAATTTTAAAGTTTTCCCAGGTCTAAGTTATAGCAGGTTAAATATTCAATGTGCCTTGACCTTTGTTATACAGACAGCAGAAGAGGCAGTGAAGCATCCTACTCCTCTCCCCTTCAAACCTCCCTCAGTTAATATAACTAATTAAGGACATGAGATGCAACTTTCTAGACAATAAAAACAAGCTAGGCGATCAATTAAAAAATAATCTGAGTACTAGATATAACCATTAAGGTAATATTTTCTTTCCAGTTGAAGGCTTAATTCTACCATCACATTAATTTTCATTCCTCTGCAGTGCTCAAAACTGAAAGCCTGGGGAATCGGGACTGATGTAAAAAGAGTGGCGCCGTCTTCCAGACTGAGCAGTGTGTTGAAAGATTTAACCTGGAGGCCTGAAACAAGATGTCACCATCTCATCTGTTCCAGACGAGGTCCACATTTTTCCACCGCTCTCACCAGGATTTAGTAAGAACTGTTATTTTACCTAGTATCAGGCAATGATATAGGCAATGTATAGGCAAACCTAAAAAAAATAATAATTCAAGTGGCACAGCTGCTTCCTACAGCAGCAGGGGGATGCGGCAGACTGATAAAAGCAAAAATCTCCTGACAGGATGAACCGACAAGTTCCAGACACCTCAAGCAGAATGGGTGAACAGATCAAAGATATTTGCTTATCCTCACCTCACATTTTAACCTGCGGGCATTGTGAGCCACAAAAGGAAGAGGGAGAAAGTGTTATTCTGTTCTAAATACTGAGGAGGCAGATCTATACACGCAACCCGAGGATGGACTTTCAAGAGGTATCTATAAAGCAGCACCTGGTGTATGAAAACACTGTCATTCAGCTGATGTATTTCTACAGTGCTGGAAGTTTACGGCCTAATTATTTAGACTTTCCAAAAGAAAAGCAGCAGTAAAGAAAAATCCACAAAACTTTGGTAGCTTCGGATCCTGAACAGTATTCTGTCGGTTGCTCATCTTGCGCTGACTCACCCAACGTACTGGAAACCGAAAGACGACTCTGCTTCAGAAAGCTCCTCAGGGCTCTCAGAGACTTGCCTGTGCCTAAACCAACAGTCACCCGAAAGTAATGACGAATCACAGATAAAATAGCTGCACTCTCACTTGTGCATTCTTCCTTGAAGTCCATTTTATTGAATTCTGGCTTTGACAAGGCTACGCAGCTACTGCACGTGCTTCCCCGCTATGCCGCACCTCGCCTTCCCAGCAGGAAAAGGGACAGCTGGAGACCGGCCTGCTGCAATTACTTTGCGGTCTGTAACAATCCTCCTTCCCAACATCAATTCAAAGTACTAAAAATCCAATCTAATAACTTGTCACCAAAGGGACACACCTGAATTATGAAAGCCAAGCTGCAGATAAATGAACTGTCCTGAATACTCTGTGTGCCTCTAACTGCAGAATGTAACCACAAGTCACGAGACCAAGAAATTCTTTCCTTCTTTCAGAAATATTTCTCACAAAACAACTGGCTTGAAAATAAAAACACGGCTGGGTTTTATTCAAGCAGTGGGACTTGGCTATTGAATAGGATTTGGCGAGGAGAAAGGAAACCTAGAAGGGAACAAGTGATGTCAGCTGCTACCTTGCTGATTTCCTCCCCCTCCCCAAATTCCAGCAGACATTGAACGTTTGTGCCTTACCCCCTAATCCCCACAGACATACTGACAGTATCATTTACTGCACACAGGGGAAGTATTTTTGCAACATGTTTATGCAGTGGGTTTGCCTCTCCGACTGTACGAGACAGCAACCCGACAATAAATGGGTACAGATCGGGGGATAACCTACCAAAGGCATATCCCATCCCTCCGAAGTCTCTTTCGCCATTACCAAAAGCCATAACATTTTCTAAATTAAAAGACCTCTGCTGTGCTGCCAGAAGACACGTTGGCCAAGGGGATTGCAAACAGGCATAAAACCAAGGGGGTTAGCTGGAGAATACGCAGGGGTTGATTTCTTTGCCAGTCACAAGACATCACACACACCCACTGCTCCATGTGGCTGAAGTGACTCAAATCTGCTTTACTCCTAAGATGTACTTATAGTACACGAAGAGCCTGGAATACAGTTTGAATAAAGGCCTCTTCCTACTGGCCAACCCAAACGGTCCTCAAGGGAGGAGAGATGGGAGAGGGAGCCAGGCAATGAAAGGAAACCTCCAAATTCCTTTTGGAAAACCTGCTTAAGACCTCCAGTGGCTTTTGCCACGTGGAAAATAAAAGGCCTCTTTTGCCTTGGTCTCTACACCCTTACAGAATTTGTATTCAGCACTGTATGAACTCTGCTGCCTCCCACCCCAGCTCTCAACTCCCCTCAGAAGAATAAACGCAGGAGCTTTGCTGTTAGCCATGGCAGAAGGTCAATGACAGGCTCCTACCCAGCCCTGGCCTCCTGACCACCCTGCGGCTAGTTGAGGGCCACACTACCAACAGGAGGTGAGGGCAGACTGCTTTAGTGCAGAAGACCAACCAGTATTTTCTCAAGATCACAGAGACAGTGGCAATACCTTCACCTACAGTGCTATTCTGAACAACACCTGGTGCTCCAGCACAGGATGCGATCAAATGCACACAGAATCTTCTGGAGACACCCTTCCCCATATGATCCTCAGTCATCAAGATACTATGGCTGTTGTCCAGAGCAAGTGATGAATAATTGTAAGAAATCATTGAAGGTACAAACCCCTTTGTTTTTAATATCTTTACAGGAACCAAATTAATACCGTTCCTCTGTCATCTTATTCTCCCTCAGAGGGAATGGAGAGAAATTGCATCTGGAAATCCAGGTGGTTGAGTTCTGTAACTCTTCCTCCTGAATCCCCGCATAAATAAACATTCGTTCATATTCAGAATTTTTCTATTTTAAAAAACAAAATAATTTGCCTTTTTCTTTAAGCTTGGTACCATGTTTCTTTAATGCTGTTGTTGTGAGATACTGCACCCATCTTTTAGCAGTTGATTGCCTTAGGTGGCCTTTTTATAATGGTCCTATGGTTCAAAGCTCTGAGAAGCACAGTATTAAGGCATAGAAAATGAGGAGTTTTCTTTCCAGGGAGCAGACTGTATTTGTGTTACATTCCTTTAGATGCTGAACTGCAAATCTCATCCCCTTGGAGCCAAAAGGGGAAGAGACAGTTAAAAATATCCCAGCAGTCATACAATCAGTTGTCTGTATTTTTTTGAACCTTTTTTTTAAAAAAAAAAAAAAAAAAAAAAAGGAAAAAATATCCCATAGGTAAAGACACAACAGAGTTCCAGGTATGGGTTCTTGGGAGGGATTTTCCATTCTTTTTGGCACCTTGTGATTCTAACAGCGGTTGACCTCCCTTTTAAAAATCTGACTTTAAAAAGAGCTCTTCATCCACTACGTTTTGAGCTGTTACAGTTGTGGTTTGTTTTCTTTGAAAACTGCTTTAGGACTCCTGCCATCCCATGCCCACCCCGCATCACTCCAGCTCCTCCCACTGGTTCTTCATTCACTGGTTGCCTGTCCTTGTGGCATTGTAGACGTGATGACTCCAGTTTGGGCTGGAACCGCTCCACTGGACTCTTCTATCCGGGGTCTTTTGACTTCAGGTTCACTGGAAGAGGCTGCTGCTGTCTCTTCGGTCCCCGTCTCACATACCCGGCTGACTACAACAGGAGTGGACGAGCTGGCCTGGGCTGCAAGGAGCTGCAATGGATTTGTAAGAGCTGGGAAGTAGGACAAGAGAGAGAAAGAGAATTAATGGGATGGAGAAGCACAAGTGTTTTACTATTCCAGAAAACGAGAAAACAAAACAGTCAAATGTGATAATTGGCACGCATTCAAGCGTTGTTTTCAAGTCCATTTTGTAAGGCTTGCACAAAGTTGAGATTGCAGGGGAGAGGCAAGGCTAGCAAGCTCACCAAACTGCTAATAACCTCTTTCATGGGGGAACTTCCTTCTTCCTATCCGTTGTCAAACTAGGCATTGCCCGCTAAGTGTTCACCTCCGGAAAGGGAGGATCAATCCCCTGTTAAAACTACAGCACACCTCCTCTTTGAGAGGTCATTCTCTGGCCACCTACAATCAGAACTTCTTGGAAGCTACAGCATCTGTGTGCTTTGCCTTCAATTTAGAGGGTCTTCTTTAGCCCTGCTTGCACAGTAAGAACAGCCGGTCTGTTGGGAAACTAGATTACAATTCAAATATCGAGTGTACTGACATCTCGCTTGTAAAAGGGGCAGGGAAGAGCTTAGCCCAGACAACTGAATGCATTCCCATCAGAACTGTGATCAGAATGTAGGAATTTCTGGCTCCCAATCTTGTATTCCAGTACTGACAAAAGCTCTCACCCTCCCATTAATAAAAGTGGTGAGAAAAAAGACGATTTAAGTAGCAACCCTCCGTAAAAATGTCTACAATTCCTAGTTCCAGACAGAGAATGTGCTTACACACTGGCTTTGGCACACAACGCTGCCTGGAACACAAAACACATGCAGTTTTTGGACTCTGCTTCAATCAGAGAGGCAGCCAAAGGGGACTCAGGAGACAGCACATCCTCTGCCCTGCAGACTGATTTGCAAAGGATGGAATGACAGAACATTAGTGGTGTGCTCACTGCTAAGTGCATCAAAAAAGGAGCCCTAGGATAAATAAACAAAGCAAACAGAACAAAGGCCCTCAAAGCCCAGCAACTTCTACCACGGCATGGGAAGGAGGCTGAAGAGTATTAAGAGGATGAAGAAAAAAAATACCGCAAGGATGAGGGCAGTCACCAGTTACAGTTCAGTGACTCAGAGAACCTAAACCATGCAGTTGAAGAGAAGTTAAGTTCACACAGACAAGAGTCAAGAGACTCAGGCTCCGTTTTGCCAACCAGAAAACTCACTACCACTTACAAAAAGCCTCAGATGCAACTGGATTACTTACCAGTTTGATGAGAGAGACAGAAAAGTTTTGGTGAGATTAGAGTATCTTAACATAAAAATGTTAAATAAAAACCTGTCCGATTCTCCATGAGACAAACACTACTGCTGGGTAGCAGCAAGTCCACCTATCTGATCGATTTAATATCTTAATATCCTAGTTTCATAAAAACCTTACTGCTGTCATTTTTTCATTGCTCCAATAAGATTCTTGCAAGGCAGGTGATACTGTGAATAGACATGGCAGAAAATTCTGTAGAAACATTCCCATTTTGCTTCATGAAAGCCCTCAAAATCCCACCAGTGCCCTTCATTTCAATCTCTCTGTAAGCACTGGCCTGGGACAGCAGAGGTGCTTAGCATCTCATTGAAAAGGGCTGTAAGAAACCTGGATATTACCATCCCCATCATCATCTGTAACTGGACAAAACTTGAGGTGCTGAGCAAGCAGCAAGAGGAGGCTGCCAAGACATACCTAGTATGTAATTTTAAAAATCAGGCTTGACAAATGACTAGAACACATCCTGTATATAAAAGAATCCTACATTCTTTCACCTGACAAAATAGATCTTATTCCTCTCAGGCTCTAAGACCTTAAGATGGGAAAGTATGTTATTTTCTTAATACTCTATGGAGCCATATTTCACAAGATCTAAAGAGCACCATGGAAATTTTATTATTTGGCATGCTGAAAGCAAAGGCTGTTTGTCAGAGGAAAAGAAATGAAAAAACAGGCTCAGCACAAGAATCACTAACACTTTCAACAAGTAACCCTCAAAAGGTAGACGCTGAGTAGTAATAAATGCGTAGCCAAGGACAAAGGAAAGACACTGGACTTTTCAGAAGCAATGGTAGGTAGAAAAACTTTTCCATTAGGGAAAGGGAGCAGAGGTGGACAGAAAGATACCTACCACTGACATTTAGCCACAGAACCTGAAGCGTTGGAATACCCTTGGAACTGGACGCATGGCATAACCTGATACATAACTAAGAAGAGAAAGCCCTTACAGCTTTACAACCTAATGCTAAGCTCAGAGAGCAATCAAAAACCAAAAAGCAATGAAAACAGCCTACCATAAGCGCTGCCAGTGATGCTGTTGGTGGGCACGGCATGTTTCCCGTTCTGAGTGACTGCCCGCACGGGGAGCTGATGCTGTCCAATGGTCACTGGAGCTGCCTGCTGAAGGATCGTGACTGTCTGTCCTGGAACACCCTGTGCCATTTGACTGGCGACTGTCTGAATAACACGGCTGGCTGTAGGTATTGTGGCAAATGCGATCGTTGGCTTTTCATCCATGCCTGCTTAGGAGTAAAACAGACAACAATCATTTACTACCCTGGCTTAGGAGCAGCCTTTCTTCTCATTAACATTTTAGCAGTGATACATACCCCAGGCTTGCAGATGTGAAAATACCTCAGCACCACAGAAGGTCAGGGATGAATATTTGAAAACACTAAAATATTTTCTATTCCACGTATCACTACTCTATCAATATTTAGAACGTTTTTCTTACAGCATAAGCCACTCAGCCAAAAAAATAATAATCAAGATTAGAAACTTGACCCTTTGTCCTAAAACGGCGTCATCTCCCTTATTGGCACATTATAGCTGTGATATGGACAGCAGTCACTGCAAATCTCATAGATTACTTTGTAATTACAGGCGAATTGGCCTGACTCTCAATACCACACAGCAGGAGAAGGCATTAAGATGTTTAACAATGCCTGCAGCCAAAAGTCTGCAACAGCTTGCTGTCAGGCCTGCACATAGGTTGATTTACAAGGTCTTCCCGCAATTGCAAGCTTTTGCCAGCTATGGAAGTATAGGAAGAAACCAGGAGGGAGGAAAATAAAAAAAAAAAAAGGAGGACGCAGTTCCTGGATAGAGATAACTGTTTGAGAGCACTCAACCACTTATCTCACTTCCCAGGACAAGTAAGGGGTCAATTCAGCAGGTCTGTAACAGATATGGGACAGCCTCCCGCTGGGCATGCAGGAGAGGAGAGCCACTCTTCTCTCCAGGGGCTCTGTGGGTCTCAAAGCGGAGAAGGCAGGCAGGAAGCACAAACTCATTAGTCCTGTAGGAAGGGAAGGCTTCTCCCATTTTAACATTACAAGTCACCAAGAGTGGAGTTAGATGGGACACAAGCACTGAGCCGAGACCTGCATGCAGGCTGACAGGAAGCGGGGAGAGAAAAGGCAAGGAAAGCAGGGAGATTAGGAAAGAAAATGGAGCAACCAGGAAAAACAAAGGGAAGGTAGAGATTAGAAGAGGATATGAGTGGGAATAAGAGAGGGACAAGTAGGGAAA